ATACATTCTCAACAGCAACATGTAGTTTCAGTTGTTCCAATACTTGGCCACATTGGGCATTTACTGTAGTGTCCATTTTAGCCATTATTGTGGATGTGTAGCCATAGCTGATTGTGGTTTTAATTCACATTTCTCTAATGATTATAAAAGTTGGGGCGCCTTGACTTGTTTGTTGGCCATTTGGATACCCTCTTTCGTAAAATGACTGTTTAGGTCTGTTACTCATTTTTCTATTGGGTTGTCTTTTATTTTATTTTATTTTTTTATGTCTTTTTATTTTATATTGATTTGTGGGACATTATAAATTCTAGATAGGAGCAAAACATATTTCTACTCTAGAACACATTTGCCTGGTGCCATTAGAATACCACCATCTCCCCTTACTCTGGGCCCAAATTCCCTGATGAACCCTCTGGGAGGTAATGTAGTCAACTTCATGTAGTCTCTAAAACAAAGTAGTCATTGTGCCAGAGAATTTGCTAGATACTGGGAATATAATGGCAAAAAAAAAAAAAAAAAGAAAGAAAAAAAAGATTAGAAATAATACTTTTAAATGAGACCTGTACTGGAAACCTAACGTTTATTAGCTTCATGACATTAGGCAAGTTATTTAGCCTATTTTGGCCTCTGTTTACTTGTTGAAAAGATGGGGCTAATACCCGTTTTTTAGCATTGTTTTGAGGGTTAATTGAACAATATATACAGGATTTTGTACAGTGGCTGGCAAACAGGAACATTTAATAAGTGGTAGCTATTATAAATTTGGCTATTTCCTTGCAGCCTTCCATTTCTCTACGGAGGGAGAAACTGAGCAGATAGATGTCAATTTCTTTCTTAGCTGCTATGGTTCTCACTATAAAGCAAAAAAGCAACCTGAAAAAACCCCATTTGTTTTAGGTAATCTTCTGAGAACTTGGCTCTTCTTACTCCTTTTGTCTCAGTGCTTTAAAAATTACCTGTGGTGGTGTAGAAGATCAAGTAACTGTTGCATGACAAACTGAGGGACCACAAGAAGAAAAAAATATGAGGATTGTAATTTATGAATTTATATTTAAACCTGGTCAATTAGGGAAGGCCTTGGAACATGCTTAGGAGGCAGTTGGCACAGATGGAGGGTTTCCTCATCACCCTTGTTCATACAGAAAAATGTCTAACATTTGAAGTCATTCCAAAAATCCATAAATCAAACAGGTCTGGAGACAACAAACAGTACAGTAAGGAGCATAACTATGTGGACAAGGGCCAAGTGACATGTGATCAGGTCAGTGTGCTTAAACTTGTGATTCACAAGTGTGCAGATGTGAAAGGAAAATAAAGGAGTTGGCTGAGATTTTCACTGACAGCTTGAAAAAAGGCTCTATTTATAGTAACATAATAGAGAAAAAGATATCTTAATGGCATAGAGGATATATAGTTTGTGTATCTGGGGGAAAAAAAAACCCGACACCTCTCAGCATAAAAAAATTATCTCTGGTGAAAGATCATAGATATCTCTATAAAATATGAATTACTAGTAAAGGGAAGTAAAAGGAAGACATATACAACAATACAGATCCACAGACATGAAATTAGTCTTAAAGTTATTGCAAACTTCTAAAACCTTAATTTCTGTAAATGCCTTCTTTAGGATCAATAACAAAGGGTTTGCAGACTAGTACCGGCCTGTGGACCATACTTTGGTGACACTGCTCTGGAGCACTGGCAAAAATCAGACTTCTGAATCTGAAGGGCTGGGGTTAGAGCCTGGAATGTGGGGACTCAACTAAAGGGTTGCTCTTGGTCCTGAGCCACCAGCTGGCCACCTACTGGTCTTTTTCTAGCCTTTAGCACAACATTGAGTCACCCCCTAGTTCAAAAACCATCTATTGTTCCCTTGTATCTAGGATAAAATCTCTACCTTTTACCATGGCATCCAAGGACTTCCAGGCTGATTTCACACTTTAGTCTGATTTTCCACTTGGCCGCACTGTCTTATTAATAGAGTAGCAACTAGCCACATGTGGCTAGTGAGCAGTTAAAATGTGACTAATTCAGGAATTAAAATCTTAATCTTTAATTTAAAATTAAATGACAAATCTGATACATAATTCAATTACTGCAAAACTTTTAAGTATGTTTGGAATGACCTGAGTATGAAAATCTAGTTTTTCAACTGTAAATTTCATGGAATCAAGTTTTGAGATATGCTCAAAGTATAAAACACACACTAGATTTTGAACACAGTAATGAGAAAAAGACTGTAAAACACTTAAAAACATTTAATAGGGGATCCCTGGGTGGCGCAGCGGTTTGGCGCCTGCCTTTGGCCCAGGGCGCGATCCTGGAGACCCGGGATCGAATCCCACGTCGGGCTCCCGGTGCATGGAGCCTGCTTCTCCCTCTGCCTGTGTCTCTGCCTCTCTGCCTCTCTCTGTGACTATCATAAATAAATAAAAAAAACAAAAACATTTAATACTTTTTAATATTGATCACATATGAAATGGTACGATTTTGGCTATACTGGGTTAAATAAAAGACATTAAAATTAACTTTTTACTTTTTTAATGTGGCTACTATAAACTTTGTGGCTGGTGTTATATTTATACTGAATGGTGCTAGCCTAGACAATCATGCCCAAACCTAGGAATCACTCTTGATTCCTCCCTTTCCCTCACTCATATTGACTCATTAGCAATACAGGTCAGGTCTAATCACCAAATAGATCTTAAATTCATCCATTTTTTTCCTCTGCTGCTACTTACTATCCATGTTACTCCATTCCTTAAAACCCTTCAGTGGGGCAGCCCAGGTGGCTCGGGTTTAGTGCTGCCTTCCGCCCAGGGCGTGACCCTGGAGACCCAGGATCGAGTCCCACGTCGAGTTCCCTGTGTGGAGCCTGCTTCTCCCTCTGCCTGTGTCTCTGCGTCTCTCTCATGAATAAATAAAATCTTAAAAAAGAAAAAACTCTTCAGTGGCTTCTACAGCACTTAAACTTACCAAGGCAGCAGATTTCTTCTCCTACCATTCCTTTCTTTGGTCTCTAAACTTCAGTTACAGTGGCCTTCTTGCTAAACACAGGATTCTGCTCTGCTGTTCCCTTAGGTCTCAAATACTGCTCTACACTTATGCCCATTCAGGTCTTAGATCAGAGAATACCTTCTCTGTGAGGCCATCTGTGATCAACTTCCAAAATTTTGCCTGTTCTCTCCCCCAAAGAAATGCTTTAATCAGATACCCTTTTATTTCCTTAATAGCGCATATTATAAGATATTATCTTTACTCTTTTATAACACTTTTTTTTTTTATGGTCTGTTCCACTAGCAACAGGAACAGGAACCTTGTTCGTTTTGTTGCTGCTTAATCTATTCCAGGATTTTAGAACACTGCCAGTTACAGAAAGTGCTCATGAAACAACTTAAATGAATTAATATCTAATTGCCTGCCAGACATATGTGCTTGGTTGGCTCACAAGGACTTCAAATTCAATAAGGTCAAAGATGTCAAGGATGACTTCCTCTCAGTCATTCCCTTACCGACTCAACCAAATCACCAAACTCTCAATAACTACCTTGGTCATATTCTTCACACTATTTGCCACTATCTCAGTCCAAAGCATTATTCTCTCACAAATTACTATTTTTTCCCCAAACCGTTTTCCATGCCTGAGTTTTGCATAACAGTCTAATCTGTCTAAAATGCAAATCCAATCCTGTAACACTTCTACTTAACACCCTTCAACAGTTTCCTCTCAGTTCTCAAAAGCTAATTTCTGCACATGGCATTCAAAGTCTTCATGATTGAATCTCTTCAGGAACATCTCTAGGCAGTTCTGAAACAGCATTATCTTCTTTTTTTTTTTTTTAAAGATTTTATTTATTTATTCATGACACACACACACACACACACACACACACACACAGAGGTAGAGACACAGGCAAAGGGAGAAGCAGGGAGCCCGACGTGGGACTCGATCCCAGGTCTCTATGATCACGCCATGGGCCAAAGGCAGGCGCTAAACCGCTGGGCCACACAGGGATCCCCCATTATCTTCTTTACTAAACAATCTCTCCAAAGTTTGCCTCCTAATCTTTCCGTGTATTGCTGCTTCTGTCTGGAAGGCTCCTCCCCAATTCCTTTATTAAAGCTAATTGCTTCTCCAGTCCCATTTCATTCCTCCATCCCAGGTGGGCAAGAGATTTCTCCTGTATGAGATTTCGCAGTATTCAGCAGTTTACCCTCATTATACTTACTGATATACTTACTGTTTACTCCTCTCAGTCTACAGTAGAAAGAAGATCAATGAGGGCAAGGATTCCATAGCAATCGTTAACTCAAAGCTTACTCAAACTCAAAGGTTACTGGAAAACATGGTATCAAAAACTTGGCAAATTTTTATCAACTGAAGCATTGAAAATATTACATCAAAAGAAAACAATATGGCTACTGTGACATTTACTTTGCTTCTATTTTAGGCAAAATGACTTAAGTAAGTTACACAAAGACTTTACAAATCCTTACCGCGTCAATATCCCAACAGGGTAACTGGAGGTAGAAAAAATGACTTATCTCAGGCCACACAAAAATCAATGGGTAATACGGATTTCACTTAAACTCGTAAACTCTCCTGAATGAAACTCTTGGCGTTGTCTCAGATACTCCCAATTCCTAAATATGGGAAGACAGAAGCTGCAGGCCAGCAGCTTGGGAAAGTCATCCCGGGGCTCACCTGTTAAACACAATACCAGTGGGTTGGGGTTTACTTAGCAAATCATCAGAAGTACATTAACTTGCAAAGGCTTTCACTCTGTAAACCACTATCTCCAAATCAACGTTCTTCATAAAATACGGCACAACAATCATCTAGGCATGGTGGCCACGGTAAAAAAAAAAAAAAAAAAAAAAAAAAAAAAAAGACCTTCACCTCTGAGGTGACAGAAATCCAAGGCAATTGAGCGAGCAATTAGCGTCTATGAAGTACGAGACACCTGCAACGCCGTGGGCATGTTAAAATTAAAAAAAAAAAAAAAAAGTCTACAGGAGTAAGTACATCTCTGTGAGGAACCTGGCTGCTCAGTTCAAGCGACGTGAAGGAGCAGCCTTCGTTCCTGCCCCGGTACCTCAACCGCCACTCCCGTCCCAGGCGGCCTAGTTGAATCTAGGGCCACTTTCAGTCAAATCCTAGCTTCCCGGCTGCCCTTCCGTGTCCCGGGGCTCTGCGGGGCGGCTCGGCTTAAGCCCCGAGGTCGGGTTCCCCGTCTCTCAGCGGTCACGTCGCAGAGATACCAAGGGAGGAACACGTACTTCGGTTCCCCAACCGCCAGCCCCCGCAAAAAGAGGCGGGAAGGCCCGGCCAGCAGCCGGGGCGCTCCGCCGCGCACATGGCCCGCCGCGGCTCCCACCCCCGTGCCGCGCAGGCGCCGGGCGAGCCGGGACTTGCGGTCGCCGAGAGCGGATCATTCCGCCGCTTTCTTTGTGTGGCTCAAGCTCTACAAATGGCATATTTCCCTTCCCTCCGTTAAAAACAAAGCGCAGACCCCGTCGCCCCCTCCCTCCCGCCGGAATGGGGTCGCGGGGAGGGTGGGAGAGCAATCTGCGGCCGAAGGCAGGGGCGGAAAGGCTGAGGCGCGGGCTTGACAGGGGCCGGGTCCGGGAGGGATGCTGGGAGCTTTGACTCACTCGCACACCATGTGTCCCTCCGCGCGCAGCACGGGGGACTTTTCGGTGGGGATTTTGGGCGCCGACCAGACGCGGCATTTTCGGAAAATAGCGCCCTGTGCAGCTGAAGCGCTTTGTGTGTAGCGGGGCCGCGTCAGCCCGGCCGGGTACGAGGCGCCTCGGGTCCCCGCACCACCTCCTGCTGCTCCCCCGTCGCCGCTCCCGAAGCTTTTCCAGGTCAGTGCGGGTCTGTGTAGGGCCCTGTTACCACCGGATGTGGAAGTTGATCTCTTCGCTGGTAAAAAATAATTCCACTTCCCCCGGAACCCAGATCATCCCCGCGATTTCCTGTTTATTGCATTAAGGCGCCGGGTTTCCGGGGCTCCTGGCCCCGCTTATTCCGCGGGGGTCGGCGGGGTCGGCCTGGGCGCCCGCTCCGCCCGCGCCGCCGCCGCGCTTTGTCCGCCGGGCACCCCGCTTCTGGGAGGGGCGGGCAGACATGGTGGCGGCCGCCGCCCCCTCCTCGGCCCCGGCGCGCCGCGGCCTCCCAGCCGGCCCCGGCCCGAGCGGCGGCCCCGGGGCGGGGAGGGGGTCGAGCCCCTGCGGCGGGGGCTCTGCGGGCGGCGGGCGGCGGGCGGCGGGCGGGAGCGGGAGGGAGGCAGGTTGGCGCGGCGCGGCCCGGCCGGGCCTCGGCGCCCGCCGCCCGCCGCCCGCCGCCCCGGGAACTGCCGGCCTCTTTGTCTGGGCGCCCTGGCGGCTTCTCCGGAGCGGGGAAGGGGCGGCGGGGGCGGCCGTGCCCGGGCGCGCAGCGCTGTGGGGCCTGCGCGGCCGGGCCGCGCTCGGGCCGCGGCGGGAGCGGCAGCCCTGACGGGGCTGAGCGGAGGCCCCGGCCCGGCCCGGCCCGCGCGCGGCCGATCGCGCCTGCTGCCACGACCTCGGGCTCTCGGGCCCCCGAGGGGACAAAGGCCCGCCGCTCTGGATGCTCGGACTTCTGCTCTTGGGACCTGGCCGCCGGGATCTGCGGGTGCACGGCTTCGGAAGAAAGTTGAGAATTTTGCCAGGTCATTTCTGCCTGGACACAGTAAATCCGTGTGTGTTCAGAGTGCTCGGTTGAAGCTGTCGTGCCGCGTTCAGTCAGCGAGCATAGCCTCGGGGGTGCATCGCGAAAACCGAAACCATCGGGATAATGTAGGCCTGCCTCGTGTGTGTTTCCCCACTTTAGGCTTGTTTTCAGTACACACACGCTTGCTTTAAACCTGATTGGACTGTGGCGAGCAGACCTCTGTTCAAAGGAGGGGTAGCGACCACGGCAGTACTTTCGGAGGGGGCTTGGTAACGTGGAAGTATTTTAGGTGCTCTCTCCGAACACTGATTTGCTGTCTCGGTTCAGGCAAGTTACTTTCTGAAGTATCGTTTTTTTTTTTTTTTTTTTTTTTATCTGGAAAATGTTTTTGATGTAGTCAATAAATGGTCCTTGTAAAATAATTTCCCATTCCAGAATTAGAGGTGCACTATGATTTATTACGCAGACGGTAGTGTTGAAAGATTCTTTTTGCAGTTCGTTATTTCTCGTATAGACAGACCTACCCAGCTTGGTGTAAACTGCTTCGCACTGACCTATAACCACTCGGCCTTGGCACTTACACTTTCAGGCTCAGGCTCTCTGATTTTAAGGGAATTAAAGATGACCTTATGCTTTTATTAATTTTTTTCTCTTAATTTTACTCTTTACATAACCCCCCCCCCATAATAGCTACAACAAAAATTCATTACAAGTTAATACAGGTGACATTAATACAAGTTAATACAAGTGGTAAGAGTGACATGGTTTTGCATTTCTGCACGTCTTTTAAATGTCTGGTTTAAAAGACATCTAGATTCTTAAATCTCTACTGCATTCAGTCTGTGGTATCACACCGTGTAACGTCTGGAAAACTCCCAAAACTCCGTTGTATGCTCATGCTTGTTGTGTAATTTTTTTTTTTTTAAACTGAGAGATTTGTCATTTCTATACTTTCACCATACAAGTCGAATCAGCATATTATACAAGACACATTTTAAAGAATATGGATAGGAGAGTTGATTTCTATACTTGTTTCTTGGGCTCTTTTTTTCAATTTGGGATTTAGATGCATAAACAGTATACAGATTGTGTAATCTGCATATGATCCTGGAGACTCAGGAACACTTGAAAATATTTTTTAAGTGACTAAATTTTATTTTTAATTCCACAATTTATTTTTAATTATGTACACAAAATGTGAATTCCATGTTAGATACGCTTGTGAAAACTAGTGTGTAAAAGTGATATTTGAAGATAGGACACTGTCAAAAGCCCTGCAGGAGTTTCAGATTTAAAAGGAATCCTGCAGTGAAACATTTGGTCAAACAATACTTTTGTAATGCATATACTTAACTTTAGAGTTAAGTCTCCTAACTTAAAGTTTGAGTTCTCTCTTAACGTCCTTCTGGGTATTTTATATTTTAGATTGGGGGCCAGTTACACTAAATGTGTGAAAATGTAAGGCCATACTTTGGTTTAATGGTTTTGAAATGAAGCTAAATTCATTTCCAGTTGTTTCTGTGAACTCTATTTTGATTCTGTCAGACTGTAGTTCTCTACTGTTCCATCAACAGGAAGCATCTGGTCATTCTTGACATAATTGTTTGAAAATGCCAGGTATATTTTTGATGTTTGCCATGTAAATGAAAATAAATATCACATTGGATCTTGGTTAATTTTACTTGTCTCCTTTTCATCCAGCATCTCTAAGTTGTATTTATGGTGGAACTCATCTGTAGGATGGCCATTTCCCCCCCCTCTTGAATACCTCATAAGTTAAGAATAGTAACAGGTAAAGCAAACAAGTCAGGAATTCAGAAGTCATTACATGACGTTTTGAATCATGAATTTGTTTTGAGTGTGTATTTTTTTTTTTTTTAAGATTTTATTTATTCATGAGAGACACACAGAGGCAGAGACATAGGCAGAGGGAGAAGCAGGCTCCTTGCAGGGAGCTGGATGCGGGACTTAATCCCCACACCCCGAATCACACCCTGAGCTGAAGGCAGAAGCTCAACCGCAGAGCCACCCAGGCATCCTTTTCTTTCTGTCTGGGTCCTGACCTAACTTGACTGTCTTGTTTCTACTACTTTTCTCATGAAATAAGTGCTCTTTAAGAATTTCTACAATCTGTTCTGTTTTCTTTTGAACTTGATAGTTTTTCAATCCAGTCATCATGTTGCTTTTCCCTTTCTTAATCTGTTCAGAAGGTGGCATCTCCCTATGTTTCTGAATCGGCTACTACACTTCTACAAAAATTTAGAGTCCCTTCACCTCATAGCTTGTCCCTCTTTTACTCTACTCTTTACTTGCCCCTATGTCTATAACTTTCCTCATAGTTTGCCTTTGCCTGACAACAGTTGTCCAAAATGCCACCAGCGAGCTTCTTTTTTTAAAGTCAACTTTTATTTTTTAAAGATTTATTTATTAGCGAGCACATACAAGCAGGGTGAGGGGCAGAGGGAGAAGCAGGCTCCCCACTGAGCAGGGAGCCCCATGCGGGACTCCATCCCCAGACTGGGATCATGCCCTGAGCTGAAGGCAGACGCTCAAGTGCTGAGCCACCCAGGCGTCCCTGAGGGTGTATTTTTGAGGGGGCAATATTCCTTTTCAAGTAGCCTGAGTGTGGGTGAATTCACTGATGGGTCCATCTCCTCTCTTGTCTCATAAACATTAAAAAACAAAGGGAAATAAAACCTTAAAGTTCAGAATAACTTAGTTTTCTAATGAGTATCATTTCTTTGGCCCCAGAGCTAAGTAGTAATCATAGGTTTCTATAGCATTAATGTGTTTATCCAGGTATTCTCCTTCTTTGAAGGTATTTGTTCCATCAGGCTCTCTAGAAGGTCTGCCAACTTGTATTAAGGACTGTATTTCCCCACTGTCTTGACAACAGTGCTTTGCATAGAGGAGATGTGTTGATGCAGTCCCCTGTCAGTTCAGTTGTTGGTGGACCAGTGTACTTTCATTTAGGCTAAGTCTGTCCATGCGATGTTTAGAGGCTGAAGCTTGAAATTATTTTTCCACTGAAGGTAAATCATATGCACAGCGGTGATGCATTTAGAAATAGGGATTTAAAACTCTTTGTCCTGGTTCTCTTACCTTTTAATGGGAATAATTGGAAAGGCTGGCAGTTAGGTCACAAGACACTAATGCAATAATAGAGAATGTGGAAAAGACTCATCATTTTAAATGTACATTTAATGTGAATTAACACTCTGGTATAATTTTTTAAAAAAGTAAATGTCATCTTGAAGTTGGTAGAACAACATAGAACAGGTATTGGGGCACCTGGGTGGCTCAATTGGTTAAGCTAAGTCTGACTGTATTTTGGCGTAGGTCATAACCTGAGGATTGTGAGATAAAGCCACATGTCTGGCTCTGCCCTCAGTGTGGAGTCAGTTTGGGATTCTCCCTCTCTCTCTGTCCTTTGTGCTGGTGCTCTCTCTCTCTCTCTGGAAAGAGGGAGGAGGTATTAGCCACACTTTACTTTGTACTTGTTGTATTATACCTGGGATAATTACATTGTGTCAGCTTTTAGGTAGCATTACTATCACTTTGTGAGTGGGCCCTTATATCATTTCTCAGACTTTATATCAGAATCACCTGCAGGGCAAAAACACAGAGGCCTATGCTTAAGTAGGATAGGGCCTGGGCTATTGTATTTTTCTGAAGTTCACCAGGTGATAGGCACACGAGTTTAAAAAGCTCTGAACTATAGTGAGTTTCCAGAGGACCTTGATCATGGGGGAAAGGACATGGGGAAAGGAGGAAAAAGTGAAAAACGCAATGTTTGCCCAAAGAAGAGAAGGAAACTCATCTAAGAAATGATGATATCTTTAACTATTTAGAGGTCTATCACACAGATCAGGTTTGATCTGACTAGAAAGAACTAGGATCAATGAGTAGTAGTTAGAAGGAGGATTTCAACATACTTTCAAGAGAAATTTCCACAGAACAGTAAAATGTAATGGGGGTTAGGATTGAGTTGTAGGCTCTCTGCTTTCATTGATGATGTTCAAGTTAGGAATTCTAAGGTGGAGGAACTGATAGACTGAATCAGGAATTGGGCCAGGTGTCCTAAAGTTCCCTACATACTTTTAAGATTTTATGATATATGTCTAGGTTTGCAGGTACAAAAGTAGAAGAGCAAAAGCCAGTTGAGTGAAACAAG